GAATTTTATATAATAAAATAATAACACATTTCAGACCAAGCTAGAGCTGTAATGCGTATTTACAATATGGCATTAGCAATAAACTATATAATATATATAATGCAAGAAAGAAAAAAAAAGTCTAATAAGAAATGGAATAGCTATATTTAAAATCTAATAGTCTTATTTACAATTATGTTAAAATTTTGATATATCATGGTTTAAAAAGAAGGCCATTGTAGTATGGTATCCCTGTGTTTATGGATCACGTGACAAGCACATGGGGGAAAATCTGCCATCTTTAATCATCCTCTCTATCTCCTCCTTTACTTACTATTACAGCCATGATAAATATGTATTTCCTAAAACGATCCATTTTCCACTTGGGAACTGCATAACGCCTACTACATCGAAGAGTATGCTACCTGCTTTGAATTTTCTTTTTTTTTTTTCATTATTTGTCTATATATTTGATATATATATATATTTGATATATATATATATATATATATGTATATGTTATTTACCGGCCAGGAGGCCCGGCGCGCTACGCGCTTGTGCCATAAGGCAGTGGAAAAAACTCGGTCCATAACTTACGGTACGGACCAAGCAAACGAGGTTAATAAGAGGTATTTATTCTTATTTCCTAAGAACCGACAAAAAGAACTGGTCCTACAAGTTTTCCTCAAAATGCTAAAGAACCTTATACATATACCAAAGGTAATTTCATGAACCAGCATTTCAATTAGAGGCCAATATGATGTTATCGCCGCTATATGATCACGGGTGATCGTGTGACTCCAAGTTTTTTAGTGGTTTCTCCCGGTTCTTCTTTGATTTTTTAAAATTTTATTTTATTTTTTGTAATTTAATTTAAATTTCCTTTTTAATCTTCCACAAAACTGAATTTTTCCAGTGTTATTTGCGGCGCGCAAAGCATGAGTGGACAAATGACCGGCTCTAAGCATTTTTAAAGTTTGAAAAAAACGAAACAAACCGGTTAATTAGTTTTTACTGTATTTTATTGCTTTTATCTTTCCTTTACATGTTTCTGCTACTTGTAGGCACGTATATATGATGACTCAAAAGAAAACAGAAAAACAAACAAACAAACAAAAACAAAAATACAAAAAAACAAAAACAAAAACAAAAACAAAACAAAAACAAAAAAACAAAACAAAAAAACGCAAAGTTGGGTTATAGTAGCCTGGTAATTGGAGTCGGTGGCAAAACAGCTAAACGCGCTGGTAGCCTGGTAATTGGAGTCGGTGGCAAAACAGCTAAACGCGCTGTGATTGGCTGAAACAAAATTCGCCGCTCAGCTGGTTGTAATGTCATAGAAACCCTTGCTCGATCAAAACACACACTTCGCCGCAAGAACGATTCTGTGGCGTGCTAACAATAAGTATTCAGCACTATTTTCTCTGAATACATTATTAAATGTGTGTGTTTACACTCAATTTAAGAATCGATGTCGGGTTCAGAATTAAACATAGAACATAGAAGGTGAGACCGAAATGGCACATGGGAAGTACGTCAATTAGATGCTTGTTGTGACCGGCGACCTGTGGCATCATCCACTGTTTTTAATACGCGTTCGGCATTCTCGTGAAACCGACTGCATGGATGGCAAAAATGAATACATTATAATATAATTATGTCATTTCCCATGTGCCATTTCGGTCTCAGCTTGTATGTTCTATGTTTCTGAACCCGACAATGATTCTTCAATTAAGTGTATACACTTAATTGAAAAAACGTTGTCGGGTTCAAAAAAAGGTTATATCATCAACCGAAGGGGAGCATGGGAAGACAAACAATTATGCTACTTTCATACGTATTGCAGTTTTTCTGTTTATATATTATGCATCATGGCTTTGGCATGTTGTTAATYTAGTTCGACCGACTTTGCTCTGCTGTGCATTTTTACATATGCAAATATAATACACATTTCGGAGTACCCAAAATCCTTTTCGGTCTTAGCTTCGATGATATGACCTTCTCAAGCCCGACTACGTTTTTCTCCGATTAGGTGTCTATAAAAGTATATATTTGCAGAAACGTTGTAGATACATTTATACAAATATCTAATGAGTTGGTTTCAAAGTCGATTTTTATGTGTTATTAATTTTAAATGTCAGCATATCATAGCCTGAATGCGTTTCCACTCTCATTGAGCTTTCTTCTTCTTCTTCTTCTTCTTGTTCTTATAGACCTAACGGTAAAGGAGGCAGTGTATTCTAATGTTCATAAACCAAGTGTGTCCGTTGCAGTTCTGGTTGAAGAGTTGGTTCTCTTGGCATTGGCAACTGCTAACTAGCTGACACTGGAAACATGTTTTGGTATAGCAGAGTAACGCGAAATTACTATTTTTGGAAACTGATAATGACGTATGCGTGGGTGAAAACTAGTAACAATTATTGAAATATTGCAATTATAAATATAGTATAGTACTTATAGTATATGTAACTGAATCAGGTCAGAATTTGATATTAAGTTATTAAGCTTTGCTTTCTATTTCTCTAGACAATAACGGTAACATTTTTTCTTATCTTTCGTTTTCAGAAATGAAGCCTTAGTGAAGAGAAGAGGCACGACATCAAGCAAAACTAAGCTAATTGTACAATACTGATAGGTGTCAATATGTAGGTAGTAACGCAAACCCACAGAACACTTGAATCACGTTATACAACCTATAAAGAATATATCCGATGCCTTGATTCAGTCTATGAGCTGATCCATAGGTCAGGAAATGCAAACCTAACTCATAGATTAAATGAAGTTTAACGTGTTTTGTGCAGGTATAAGAAAATGGAAGAGGTTAGAGAAACTTTACAACTCAAGGAAGAGATTTAACAAACTCTACTTATACAAGAAGCTAGTCTGATAATCAAATCCAAGACCCCATGCAGAAGTGAGGTAAGACGCCTACTTAGAAAACGTCTGTTTCTGAATCCCCCTTCTTTATAAAGTCGAAAAAAATACGGAACAGATGTCAATGATGTCAATGATGTCAATGATGTCAATGATG